CCCTCAAAGCGGCTGCGGCCGCAGGCCTTTAGGGGCCCCTCGGGGGGCCCCAAGCCCGAAATGGGGGCCCCTGTGAGCTTGTCTGTGTCATTACAACTTGTGGGCAGAAGCCCCCCAGCCCCCCAAGTGGGAGCTGCCGTGGGCCCCTTGGGGGCCCCCCGGAGGCCCCGTAGGGGCCTCCTAGAGGCCCCCCCAGGGGCCTATTGGAGGACCCCCTAGGGCCTCCTGGGGGCCCCCCAAGGGGCCTTCTGAAAGCCCCCCTAGGGGCCCCTTGAGAACCCCTAGGGGCCTTTTGGAGGCCTTTTCTGGCCCCTTAAAAACCCGCTTAGGGGTCTCTTGGAGGCCCCCTTAGGCACCTCTTGTAAGCCCTTCTGGGGTATAAAAAGGGGCCCCTCTAAGGACCTCTTGGAGAACCCAAGAGGGGCCCCCAGAGGGTGCTTCGTAGCGTGCTTTTGAGGCCCTTGTCTCATGAATTTGGGAGCAGAGTTCATCTGTACTGCATTTTTTTGCTGCTTCAGCAGCAGCAGCAGCACTGTCAGCAGCAGCTGCTGCTGCTGAGGCTGGTCCGTTTCTTCTTTGGGAAGTGGACATCTGTTGCTTCTGTGTTGAAAAAAGCAGCAACTGCACTTTGGGTGCCACCGTGGAGCATTTGCTGCTGCTACGGGGCCAGCTGTTGCTGCTGCTGCAGCAGCTGCTCCCCCTGTTGCTGCTGAAGCAGTGGCTCCTGCTGCTGCTGCAGCTGCTTCTGCTGCTGCTCCCCACTTGCTACATGCCGCCACACAAATAAAATCCCCTTCTTTCTTACAGACCAGGAATAGCAGCAAGGTGGGGGCAGCCTCATTACAATATCAACGAAGCTGGGGGCCCCCGGGGGCCCCCGCAGAGCAGCAGCAGCAGCTTCCAGGGCATCTGCCCCGCTGCACCAGATGTGCTGCAGCAGAGCTCGCTGCTCCTTCTCCCCCACCACGCATGCCAGCAGGGGCTGCAGCTGCTGCTGCTGCTGCTGCAGCAGCCACTCGCTGCTGCCGTTTTGGCGCTCAGCTGGCCACGCCATCCAGCAGCCCTCGCCAATAGCAGCAAAAAAAGTCCCCTTATCTCTTTTCCAGCTGCTGTACTTCCCTAGGGACGCCTCCCCTGCGTTGCTGCTGCTGCTGCTGGCACTGTTGCTGCTGCTGCTGCTGCTACTGTTGTTGCTGGAGCTCCACAGAAGGGGCAGATAGAGGGTCTCTAGCTCGCGCATCGAGAGCCCCAGCTCCTTGTGCTGCAGCTGCAGGGCAGCTTGGTGTAGCTGCTGCAGCTGCTGCAGCGTGTGTCTTGCTGCTGCTGCTGCTGCTGCGGCAGCAGAAGGCTGGGAGGAAGCAAGAGGCACTGAGGACTTGTCGCCTGGCTGCTGCGCTTGCTGCTCTCTAGGCTGCAGCAGGGACAAATCCCGCTGGAGCAGCTGCCACTGCTGCTGCTGCTGCTCAGCGTGCTGGAAGAGCGAGCGCTGCTGCTGCAGCAGCAGCTGGTGCAGAATGAGCAGCTGCTGCTGCTGCCTCGCCGACACACTCACGCCAGCATTTACCGGCAGGCCCTGCAGTCCGTGTTGCTGCTGCAGTAGGCTGATGTCAAGCTGCTCCCTGTACTGGAGCTGCTGCTGCTGCTTTTGCTGCTGCTGCCGTGGATCTACAGCAGCAACTTTGCGCCTGGAGGCAGCAGCCTTCCCTGTAGGCTTCCTTTTGCGGTCTCCGGGCTGAACTGCTGAGGGCCCCTCTCCATCTCTGACGCCCCTGTCCCAGTCTGCAGGCCATGCTGCAGCTGCTGGGACAGCAGCAGCAGCAGCAGCAACAGCAGCAGCAGTAGCAGCAGCTTGCTCCGTCGAGGCCCGGTGCCTCTGCACCATCGGGGGCCCCGACAGTGCTGCTAGGGGCCCCCTGAGGGTACCATCAGTGGGCCCTTGGGGCTGCCCCAGAGATCTTTGGGGGCAGTCAAGCGGCCGCTGCAGCAGCTGCTGGGGCTGCAGCTGTTGTGTGGCTTCCTGGTGCTGCTGCTGCTGCTGTTGTGTGGCTTCCTGGTGCTGCTGCTGCTGCTGCTGTGTGGCTTCCTGGTGCTGCTGCTGCTGCTGCTGTGTGGCTTCGTGCTGCAGCGGCTCGTGCTGCTGGTATTGTTGCCCGTAGGCCCGGGGAATCGACTGAAGCAGAAGGCTCTGAAGCGTGGGCACGTGTGGGTAGAAGGGAAGCTGCTGCTGTGCAGCCTGCGGCGCCTCTGACCGCGGGAGCTGCTGCTGCTGCTGCTGCTGCTGAATTTGCTGCAGCAGCAGCTGCTGTTCCGGGCGAAACGGGAGTTGTTGGAAGCCATTGAGGGGGCCCTGAGGCTGAGATGCCGGCGGTGCCTCTTCTGAAGTGGGGTTTGGCTGAGAAAGGGGGCCCCTGAGGGCCTCCCAGGCGCTGGGCTCGAGGAGTGACCCCAGGGGCTCCCGAGGACCCAGGGGGCCCCTAGGGGCCCCCACGAGAGGTTCCGTAGGCGCAGCAGAAGTCTCTGAGGGGTTTGGTGGCTGCGTTTGGGGGGGTGTTGTGTTGGGGGTGGGGGCAGCGGTGGGCACAGGGGCCCCCTGGGGAGAAGATGCTGGTAGCTCTTGGGGGGCCCCCTCTGGAGGGTGCTGCTGCAGCTTTTGCATGTTCTGATTTGAACTCCGGGCAAAAGGCCGCAGTGAGAAGTCAGGGGAAGAAGATATCCCGAAGAGTTCAATAGGGCACGAGGGAAGTGACCCTGGGCGCATGCAGCCCCGCAGTTTCCCGAGGCCCCGCCCGTAAACTTTTCTTGCTCTATCTTGATGCTCTTTCTTGGGTAAAACAAGAGCTTCCAATTAAATGAATTTCAGTGGAAAAAGGCTAACAGCAGCAGAAGAGAGGGGGAGGGGGGGCTCCGCGTCCTTCCGCAGTGAAAGCAAGCGACAAAAATAGCCCATACAAGGAACCCCAGCCCAGCCGTGCTTTTTGCCACAAAATTGGCCTGGAGGCAAAAGGCTTTACTTCATTTGTTTGAAAGCCTGGGGGCCCCACAAACAGGCGAGGCGCACAACCCCATAGGCTCTCACTTTGCGTCTGGCCCTGCAGGCTAAAGTAAGGGCTTTGGCCCACACATTAGCCTTTGCGCCAATACGCCATATATGTCTGCAGCCACTTTTGCCTTGTGGCTGCATTGAAGGCCCCGCAAGGGAACAGCTGCAGAGGCAGCGCCGCTGCAGCAAAAGGCACAGCAGCAGGAGCTGCGCACAGGAAGGCCTGCTCTGCCTCCATTCTTTCAGCTAAAACTTCGGAAGCTCTTCGCTCGCATTCTTTAGATAAAGTTTCTAGAGTTTGCAACTAATCGAGGCTGCGAGCTGCAGCAAATACTGCATGCAGCACGCAGCAGTCTAGACCCTTTGCTAGGTTCCGAAACACCGCTAGTTTGAAAGCCCCGGTGCATGCGCCGGCACCCAGACCCTCAGAAAATCCTCTGAAAACCCCCAATTCACGAAATCCCACAAAGTTCGCCAGCCCTCCAGCTTCGCACTCATCTACTATAAGTGTTAAAGTCAGTCTGGGGGCCCCTGCAGCGGCACACAGCCAGGGGCACCCAGCTTTCTATAGCCCAGCAATTGGCCCGGCTGGCGGCCGGCTTACTTCCCTGTAGCGCTGCAGGCCTCTGGCTAGGCAAAGGGAGAAAGTTTGAAAATGCCAAAATACAAAAGGGCTTTTGCTGCGCTGCAGCAGCTCTATACAGCTGCTGCGCTGCAGCAGCTCAACAGAAGCCACAGGGGAAGCTGGAGGAAAGCCCAATGCGTCTTTCTTTTGTGACCTGCTGCTGCCACAGGAAGCGACGGCGAGCTGCAGGACTGCTGCAGCAATGCTGCAGCAGTGTATGCTGTGCTGCTGCAGCACTGCTGCAGAAGTGTGTGCTGTAGCCCCAAGCCAAGAAGGACCTTCTCCTGGGCAATTCCAAAGAGGAACTTCTCCCTGTCTGGCAGCCCCAAGAGGCGCATGCAGCAGCTAAGAGGCCCCAATCTGGGGGAGTTTTATCTGCTGCTGTGCTAAGACCCACTGGGGGCTGCGTAGCTGCTGCAGTGAGAAGCTGGCTCATAGAAGAGCTGCTGCAGGGCCCCGGCAAAGCCTGCAGGCCAAATTTCCCAGGCCACGGGGCGGGCAGCATTTGCTGCAGCCGCGCCAGCCTGATCTCAGGCAATATTTTCGTGCTGCTGCTGCTGGCATTTGCAGCAGCGGCGCTGCAGCTGCCATCCTCAGGCACTCAGGGGGGACTCTGGCGCTGCTGAGCTGCGCCAACTGAAGCAGTTTTGCTGCTAGTTATTCTGCGAGAATGTGGCTTCTGCTGCTGCGCTCCAAACCCTCTCCAGGAGTGAGACAAGGGCCACTCCAGGGAGCTTTTGTGTGGGGTTGCCGCCTTTGCTGCTCAGCAGCAGCGGTTGCTGCGCAGAGCATATCTTTCTGTGCAGCAGATTCATCCCTTAGAGTGGGCGAATCACTGCAGCAGCTGGGAGCTTGTTTAGTGGGGCGTTTGCGGGTTCCCGTGGCAGGCTGGGGGCCGTTGAGGGGCTTCTGGGGCTTCTTCTCCCTTATTCGCTACTCTAGTGACCCCAAATTCTAGTGAATAGCAAAGCAGTGAGCTTCAATAAATACGTTTAAGTAGAGAAATGAGGTATCTTGGACTACGCAGGAATGCAGAACCTTCCCCAGGACACGTAGGTGGTCCTTCAAAGGCGCGCTGCAGCTGTGCCGATTCCCTAGCGTCCTTTCGGCCTGCAAGGACCCATAAAAAACTAGATTTTAATTTTATTTATTTTACATAGGGATTTAGAGTTTCATTTCATCAGACTGGACAAGTTTCATGAGTTGTGCTGCAGCGTCCGCTGCTGCTGCCAGGTCCGTGGCTTGCGGACTCCTCGAGACAGCGGCCTGCTGCTGGCTGTGCGGCCGTTTCAAGCAGCTAGCCGGTTTTCATTTTCGCTGCGGCTTTTTGCAGCTTTTTTGTCTTCGTTTTAGTTTAAGTCCGTAGGCGGAGCGTCTCGGACCTCCGGGTTTCCTCCCACAGCGGCCATTTCGGCTCCACAGGCCTCCCGTGTCGCCCAGCTGCGGGGAGTTCTCTGCGGAATCCCCGCGTAAACTTGAACTATTTCGCAGTGTTTCAGTGTGCATGCACTCCAGTCTTCGCGAAGATGTTATTTCGCAGTTTGCAGCTGGGGCTGGTGCTCCTGCTGTTTCCGTTTTCTTGCCCGACGGCCAGGACCAGCACGGCCGGCACCGATGACTCCCTTCTCCTGGACTGCACGGGCAAGGCTATTACTTTGTCTTTCTACAATTCGTGAGTGCTCTTGCTGCGCCCCCTGCTGCTGCGCTCTCAGCAGTGTTGATTCTGCCCTTATATGCCGCTGTGGGGCCCCCTGCGTGGGGGCCGCCCGCTGGGGCCCCCGCCCCCTGTCCAGAGGGCCGCCGCTGGGTGGGGCCCCTGGGGGCCGCTGCGCTGCAGCGGTTGAAGCAGTAGGGAGACGCCACTGTGTGCGCTGCTGCTGCGTGGCGCTGCTGCATGCTGCTGCTGCTGCTGCTGCGTGCTGCTGCTGCTGCGGCGCAGGCCGCGGCGGGCCTGCGTGAAGTGGCTGGGGGCCCCCACCCTCGAGGGCCTCGCC